CGAGAACAGACTAGGACACGAGCCAGTGCTAGATATTCTACTACTTGAAATCGCATATAATTCACTGTCATATCCTTGGCTTGTAATACTGCATTGCGAGCAGTCACTGAATTAAATTCGGCTTTTACTAGTTTTAAATCGCGTTGTGTACGATTTTTTAATCGAACTAAATTGACAATTTCTGGATATAATTCTTTTACATTTTCACTAAATTCATCAATATCGATATCGAAGCCAACATTTTGAATGACCGCAGATAGTTGCGGCGGAATTGACGGGGTTTTTAATTGATATGTCTTGTTATCAAGTTGAGGTAGCCCTTTATCTGCATTGAGTAAATAAGCAAATGATTCCGTAGTTGCCACAAATAATAAAATATTGTATTCATTATCAGGGCAATTCACTTGAGATTTACGGTATGCGGCAATTTGTAGATCAAAATTATCTGTATCCTTCATATGCTTCACTAATTGTTTAATCACTTCTTTCTCATTTACAGTGCTTGTAAAGTGAAGTACATATGGTGAAAAAGGATACCGGGTTTCTGCAAACCGTTCTGCTTGACGAGTTATCTCATTATTCTCATTATTCTGTGAACGATAATTATTCGGCTCATAATTTCTCTGTTGATATCGCATATTATTTCCACTGTAATTATTCTGATAGGTTGGGTAATAAGTCTGACGCGGCTGAAAGGGATATCTGCGCTGCAGAGGTGAATTGTTTTGTAGTTGTTGCTGCTGTCTATTAAATTGATCATAATTGTTGCTCGTTGTGGTACTTTGATTTTCACGTATATTTTGAGCATTATTAGCTCCATTCGATTGCTTATCAGTAGGAATGTATACCTTCTTATGGTATCTGTAATTATTACGTCCATTTTCTTCTGACTCATTAGTATCATTGGCATTTTTTCGCTTGTTCAATGGGGTGGTATGTGTATCTGGTCGACTCTGCTGCAAGTATACAGCTGGCTGTCGGAATGGGGTTGAAGAGGCTGCTGGAATGGCAGCAGGAACGTGTAAGTTATCCACTGAAGATAACAGCATTTGCTGAGGATCAGGATCATCGTGATTCATATCAAAGTTCGCAAGTTCTTGTTGATCGATATCGTCCGGACGAAGGGCTGCAGTAGTATCCGAAGGGTCAGGAGGAGTGGATGTTGAGTTTGACATGGTTGATACGTGATTCCTCTCTCTCTTTATAATAATTTGAATAAGTCCAGCGATAAACAAGTGGTTTGATCAGTGACAAAAATATTTCTGGTTTCTATTTATAATGTGTTTAATATAAGCGTGATATTCGTCAGCCAGAAGGTCACGGCGATTACTCTTTATAATAATTTGTAATATAAGCAATTAACTTTAATAAATTGATAAAAATATTAGTAAGTTTTTAATCCGATTTAAAAGGCACATGTACGAACACGTACACCTCACGTGTACGTACTGATGTACAGTTACGTGTACGTACTAATGTACAGTTAGACAGAAGAACGAAACAAACAGACGATATTACAAAACACGTCCGTTCACTACTTGAGAAAAAGACGAAGTGAGCAGTGCTGAAATTTTCGCGGCTATTATGTTATGTAATGGTGAGCGGACCTGAATGGACATACCCAGAACCGTTCCCTTAAAAGTTTTAAGAGCGACCGAGTATAAGTATCTTCCTAGTAAGTAACAAAGTGAATGAGTAATTTGCCCAAAAATCTTCGGTCTATCGTCGAAATAATGAGAAGATAGAACCAGGGATGATTAAAATATTTTATGAGAAATTATATCAATCTAATATGTATCTAGTCAGGTGGTGGCGGAATTTTGTTTTCTATTCCTACGTCCGATATCTATTCTTAAATATGAGAAAAGCATACGGATTTCGTTGCGAAAACTGTAACGAGTTTTCCTTTACTCTATTACTAAGATTGCTCGCGTCGGCATGTTATCTAAGTTCTTTGTATAGGACGATCATGGCATTATTCATGAACTATTCCACCCAGAGGTTTTACGGCCACCAGCCAATTACAAATATCCAGTAGAGCCAGCAGTGTGTGCTCTTGTCAAGTTCGCTCTACGAAAATCGAACTATCCCGTCATCTTCGTTCGCAAAGGAGAACAACATCATCGTCAAGTGTTACTCGCTCTACGTTACTTTCAAATTGGCCTCGTGTCTTTTCCGTTCCCAAACAGTCTATGCCGATTTTTTCAAAAGCACAACGTCGACGACGTTCTTTACGTGACGGGCAACGAAGAATCACTTCACACCTTTCGCCTGATGCTTACGAAACAAGAACAATCAAAAGCAGCCGTCAATTTTTATTATTGGTGAGCTACTCTTTTTGCGGATCTTGAACAGAAATAGAACTTCACATTCAAAAAGATGGAGTGCATAAAAACCTTTTGATTATGCAGACACAATGAGTGTGGTTAGTTTTTCCTTTTTGTCCTCCAGCATTAGAAGAGTATGAGAAAGAAATACGAATGAACCAAGAAGCACGCTTTCCAGTTTCTTTCTTTCATGTCAGTGATGCAAATTTATTAGTTTGGTGAACGCTTCATAATTAATGCGATCAATTTCTTTTTTTGTTCGATTGCAGTGTCGCCTTTCTTCTGTTCAACAAGGAAATACTTGAAAATTTACTGCCGAATCCAATTTCGCGAGATCATCTACAAGAAAAAATGAAATCAACAGTGTCGTCGACGTTTCTATGCGTAAAAGGATCTTATGCATGTCGAGATCATTACATCGTTCCGGTGGATTCACCATTTGGCGCTTATCTACTTGATCATTGCTGCTTTGTGCCATACATTGATCTTCTCAAAGATGAACACACTGTCCATCATCTACGGCAGACATTGAATGACTTAATCGAAAAACTCACAACTAGCAAAGGTTTTAATAAACCTAAACCAGATGAATTTCAATTTGCTGGCAATGGAAGTGGCATGCCAACCTTCGATGATTCTGACCTCGACGAAAATGACGATGACGATGTTGATTATAGCCAAGTAACGCATGGAGGGATGCCCTCTATTTATTCCTTAATGGAAACGATGGATTTGTCCAAATGGAACTCTCCTCCACCCGAAACGATGACTGTAAGAAGCGATCACCCTAGTCCGTATAAAAAACAAGCATGAAGATTTCGACAACAATGAAGCTTTTTGAAAATGAACGAAATTTGTTGGGCACTCATGAAACACAGTACATGATCGAGAGAAATGATTTTCTTTTTTTTCTGGAATAAACGTAGCTCATTTGTTGTAAAAATAAAGGTAAACATATCATTTGACTCAGTATGACTGAATGCCTTTATCTCGGGATATTGCATAATGACCAAAGGTCATTTAGCAAAATTGGACACTCTCAGAAAAATGATTTTAACTGGAATTTCATGCTTCGAAAAAAATGAAAAATTTATTTGAAAGTTCTTTAACTGAACTAGAAGAATTTCATTTGTACGGCGTTACAGATAAAATCTTATTCTATGATGGAATTATTCAATCATTTCAACATAAATTCTGGTTAGAACATCAATGGTACTTTATTTGTAACTACGATGCAATGACAAAATTTATCGAACAATAGTATTCAATACCGTTAGGAAAAATGAAACTATAACGGTCATATGAAATATTTAACAATAACAAACAATGAAGTATTGAATTATGTCAAAAAACTAACTATCAGTCATTCCAAGACTTCAGAAACATTTACTCATCAACATTATTATTCTAACGTTGATCGATTGCTGATATCTGAATTACTGGATGAAACAGACCATGATTACCCACCAACATTTGTCTCTAATCTTAATGAAGTACTAGATTTGGCAAAATTGAAAAGTTTAGAAATCTGTGAAGGAGAATATTTTGCAGTGAGTAGTGATACGATGTTGATCTTATTGAAAAATGCACCAAATCTCTCAACAATAATTATATCTGGGAGCGATTATGGTGGGTTGATAAATAATTTATTACGTGATACTGATAATGAAAAGTACAATGATTTATTTTTATATATAAATCGTATGATTAAAAGAGTACAATACGATCCTGGCTTAGGAGAATTCAGTAGTGAAGAAAGACAAACATTATCAAAAATATTTTCCAATGTACAATATTTCCATTATGTTTATCGCTATGACGATCGCGATATTGAAGCAGTTATAGATTGCGATGATTTCTTGTCAACTATATTGAATACAATGACAAAATTAATCTGTTTAAATATTGAAATAGATTCTTTTTGGAATGATCTTAACAAGGCAGAAATGAACTCGTTGGCAAACAAGTTGGATCTGATGAAGTAACCATCAGAAAAACTCTTACTTGGATTTATTGTATCAAGCGCTATTATCTCCAAAACCATTTTCTGAGCTGACAGGTCATCTGGCTGCTGTTTTTGATATTGTTTGGTCAAAATCACATTATGTTATCATCGATTGATAAAACTGTCCGACTCTGGCATTTAAGTCGAAAAGAATGATGTTTTTTCCGTCATATTGATTTTGTATCGCCAATTGCCTTTCATCCAAGAGTAGGAATTATTTGTTGTTAGGTCATGTTCGTCTATGGCATATACCAGATAAGAAAGTTATTTATTTGAGTCAAATACAAGCACAAACAATCGAGAAAAAAGTGACGAAAACCAAGAAAAATTATTGATATTGAAGCCATGAATTTAAATATCTCTAAAGTATGCATTTTCTACTTGTATTACTCGTCTTTTAGTGAAAATAAAATATAATTAACAAATGTTTATCTACTGATACTTTCAGTAACTAATATTACTTTTCTTTGGAAAAAAATTATTTTTCTTGTATTTAAATATTAATTGCATCAAATGATTCTCGTATACGTTTATATGATATTAAAACAAAAGAAATAGAAAGAAAATATCATGGTTATTCGAAGAATTCCAGTCAAATTCGTGTATCGTTTAGTCACGATGATTGTTATATTATCAAATAAGAGAAAAACATTCTTAACTTCTAACCTTTTTTTCAATGTTAAAAAACATGTTATAGCGGAAAGGAAGATAGTTAGTTCTACATGTGGTCAACAGTGTCTTTAGATGATATGTCGATAATAGAAAATATTCAGAAATTAACAAAAAAGCAACGTCGACATTTTGATCGTGCTTGGGAACGAATAAGAGGTAAAATATTTTTAAAAAGTATAATGAGATGAGCTGAAGAAGTTCATAGATTGTGTTGATTAAGCGGCATCGACTATGAATTTTCGCCACATTTCAAGCATAATCCAAAGAAAAGCAACGGTTTACGGAGAGAATAGCCCAGTATAATTTTGAGCAAATAATGAGTGGACATGTTTAAGAAAAGCGTATTTTTTGATTCCCAAGACATCTTAATCTTTAAAAGTATACTGTAGTTTACAAAGACATTTAACGTATTAGTCACAATTTGCTCCTACATACATTTTATTTCATATACAAAAATGTGTTTTCTCATCTTTCACTGTATGTCGTATTAGAGTCACAGTCACTATAACTCAATTTTGATAGATATGAAATGTTTGTAGGACAAATATGAGGAACATTTTTTAATGTCGAGATATACATACATACTGGAATTAAGAAAGCAAACCATCGGTCAAAATGAGTGATGAACTAGAGGTTTGATTGGAGAGTATAACAGAAATACGTGTCTGTCTGCATCTGTTTATGGTTTTTTGTTTTCATACGAGACTGATTATTCAATTTAGTTAATTTTTTTGTTAAATAAATAAATAAATAAATGACTAAATATATTACGCACTTGCCTATAAGTCTGTTTGTTACTGTAGAATTTTAACTGTATTAGAATGGAAAGCAGGTAGATTTTTGATCCAAAATGTATATTTCATATTCATCTTTTTTCCGATCACGTTCACTTCTTTTTTTCGTCGATCATTAAACGTAGTTTTCGTTACGCTGTTCCGTATCACCATTTGTTGCTCATTGGAAACTTTTTACTTTTTTTTGTTTTATTCTGAAGGCCCTTAGATATAATCAACGTATCATGCATTCTCTGACAGTATAAGCTGCAAAGATACACAATGTTTAGAATCTAATAGTCTTGAGCTAAAGATTAGATAAATCCCACAAAAGGCGAGTAAAATAATTAAACTCAGATCAGAAGTGCAGAATCTATCCCATAAGAATGAAAAACTTTCCTCGACAGAAGAATTTCTACAAAAGTCCTTAGTATTGTCGGATCATTTTCTTCTGCAATTAATTTCTTAGTAGAAATGTTATTTTGTTAAAGATTTTCTGAAAAAATTTTAACGAATTAAAAAGTTTTCCCCAACGGCCGTCGGATCAGGCAGTTATATTCTGTACCTCTGACTTTGACATAAGCAGGGAAAACAACGCCACAACATTGTACCGTAAAAATGCGTTTTTTATGGCTTATTTCTTTTTCGTTAATATTTTTGTTTTGCTCTTCTATTATTCAACCAGAACCATCTTTAAATACGAAACATATTGTGCTCCTCCTACAAAAAACACACGTTTTCTGACTGTAGGACGATAAAAAAAAGATAAATAATTACAGAAAAGAACATATAGAATATTTACAGATGAGAATAATATGAATCTATAGAATAAATAGTCATTTTTTTATTTTTCTCTCTTGTCTTGGAAGTGTCTTCAATTGATCGGATGCGACAGTAATCGGCCTGACCTATTATTAAGTGCTCATAAAATTTATTGGTGATAACAACAAAAAAGATTTAACAACACTGCGTGTGGTGAGAGTAAAAATTTTTTAAACATGTGATTTAACAGGTTTTGGCTTGGTTTTTGCCAGTACTGAGAACAATAGTCTTTAATAGTTTCGTTACGATATGATTCTGAGATGAAGCAGCACTGCATAGTGGCTAATAGTGATTGAAATCATATTATTAATCAATTTTGCTAGGTAGTGGAGAGACGATCTTCTCTATGCTACCGTCCTCGTCTTACATCATAATTTCTACAGTACGAATTAACAATGATTCTTTCGGTTTTTAATGTGACTAAACTTCTAATAGGTTCTTAACAGAAGCAGCAAATAGATACACACGTCTCAATTGAAATAAAGTACAGTTAAAGAACTGAAAAACTGGGATTGGGACTAAAAAAAGGTTTATCCCGCAGTTGTTTAAACATGCTACGTTTTTTAAAATTATAATTGAAAAACAGTAAAGAAAAATGATACGATTAAGAAATTAATGAAAAATAAAAAATAAAAAAAAGTTATTTTATCGATGTGATGTCAAAAAACAAGAAAAAAACAGTAGACTACCGAAGAAAAGATAATATAGATTAGACTGGAACATGTAAAAAAGACCAGTAAGTGGACGTACTTCACGATGTTTCTTCAAAAACATAAAGGGAAAAAAAGCGCAAAGAACAAGCATAAGGAAAAAAATGATCACATCATTATATTTAACTTAAAGAGAAAAAAATAACATTAGTGTCGAGTATAAATCGAAGAGTTCTTTTGTGTAGTAACAATGACATATGTGTGACATTAATCAACATTTTATTAAGTATTAATAATAATATTTAATTAAAAGCAGGACGACATGCTTAAATCAAATGTTCAAGTGTGTTTATTTCAAGGTTTATTTCCTTGAACTTAATATAGGATAATTAATTTTTCTCTTTTTTTCGTTCTTTTTAGCCTACTAATTATATTATAATGATACGTTCAATGTATATCAATTGTCAATATTCTCATCAGCAATTCTCTTCTACTTAAACGGGTGAAAAGAATGTAAACGGTTGATTATTTTTGATTACAGCTAATACAGGCACTATATTTGAAAAGGTTATTTTTTATTAAGATTTGTACCATTATTTTGTATTTGTTTGCCTGTTAGAATGCATTTAAGATACATTGACATGTTTTTATTTTTTCTTCTTTAGCATGAATTAGTATCAGAATGGCTTGCAGAATTAGGAAAGGTAAGCAATTAAATAATTTAATTTATTCACAAAATACTACTACACATTATGTTCGACAAGAAAAGATAGATTCTTGTTTTTTCGAAAGAAAGATGAAAGCAGTTGACGTGTCGTTTTATGTTTATCTCATACTCTATGCGTCTTGAGAATGATTGTATAAGAACAAAATTATACATTGTCAAGTAATAAGAATATCGTTCTGAGTAATGATCTGTATGTGCATATGCAAATTCTGCACTAGTGAAACATCTTGTATTCATCGAAACCTGAGAACACATAGTTTTTTCCTCTAGCATCTGTTTATTCTAATCTTTGCGGATGATATATTTAATGGGGAGAGCAAAACAGATGTATAAAATGAGAGTATTTTCTTAAAGATAGAGCATAATGTTCTAAAATTTTGATAACTTCAATGTGAGGCATGAGGTCATTGATTTTTCAGGCTATTTTAAAACACTCATCTGAATGATAGAGATTTTTGTTTTTCTTTAATGTGAAAAGCTGAATGAACATGTTTTTATTGTGCATGTTTTTGGGTATCGGAATGACGTCAATACTCTAAAAACCGTTCGCTTTATTGTGCGGTCAAATTTCGATCCATTAGTGTGGGATTGTTTTGGTCTGTTCTTAATGTGTATTATATGCATTAAAACTAATCAAATGATAAAAAGCAGCATTCTTATTTTTCTTTTCCCGAAAGCTCATTTAGAATACTTGGTGTTGATCAAAATACGCGTGAAATTTATCTTCTTTGTATGCACCTGGTTCACATTTAAACGGACCATGATTAGCTTATTTTTAAATCAGCAGCAAAAGAAACAATCGGCATCATCAAGAAACAAAAAACAGACTACCAATGTCCAATCATCGAACAGCTGTCAAAAGAACAACAGCAACTAAGAATAAAAATAAGCAACACAAATGATGAGACAAAAAAACAACAACTTAAGGCGAAGCGGAACAAAGTGCAAAAGAAACTTAACAAACAATTGAAAGCAAATGAGATAGATAAGAAAACGGAAGAAATAGAAGCACTAAAAGACAACGCCAGAATGTACAGAGACACTAAAAGCTGAGCGAAACATATATTATTTTTGCAATTGATACTTGTTTATTGTGTGAGTGAATAATATGAGAATACGTCTGTTCAGCGGATAAAATATTTACGTATTTTAAGAAAAGACATTGACGATATCATAACGAAAAACCGCGAAGATGACTGTATTTTTATTTCTGATATCGTTCGTCGTAGTAATATGTAACAATGTACAAGATCAACAAGAACTATTCAATGGAACGAAGGCACCACAGAAAGAAAAACTGATGGATAGAAAAGGAAAAAAGTCTGTAAACAATGCACTAGTAAGCAACTGACGCAATTTTCTCCGTCGTACACTGTTTTAAAAATTTCTCTTCTTTTCCATCTGTCTGTTTTTCTTTCTCTGATTCATTCACAAGGAAAAAAAAAATTCAACGTTTACCTTCGACACTGTCTTTTACTTTTATGTAGATGATAGTGATCAGTGTCATTAATTGAAAGCTTCACATTATTATTTTAGATAATAAAATAATACTTATCGTTGATCTTCTTGTACATTGCACTCTTCCACTTTCTTTTTGTTTCCATCTCGTTTTGCATAGGATATCGTTGTTGTTTTATCATGTTTAATTGAGACCTGGCAATGTGTAATACCAGTTAGGTCATTAAACAAATGATATTGATCATCATTTGTTTTGATCATTCCAATAAAGTGACCTACATCTGTCCCTTCGCTCAATACGACGTGCATCGCCAGAGCTCTCAGCGAGTATCTAAAATTAAGATTTAAATGGTAGTAGTAACCAAGCAGGGATGCGAATAAAGACGAGCTCTATTTCTGTTTCTCTACACGAAGAAGTAAAGGTATGAATAGGAGATTCGTTACCGCTGTGAACCGATTTGGATGGTAAATGGGATACCATATAATGTTCTTGTATTGTGTGGTAGGTTTATAATTAGAAATGGAGGGATTTTCTCAAATTGCGCGATTTTGATAATTCTGTCCATTTCACATATAATAGTCGCACTGAAATGTAATACATACTGTAAGAAAAAACGTAAGAAGTAAGGAAGACCAAGTAATCTATACATTTTCGTAGTTCTTTTTGTAATCAAATCCTGTTCTTCTCGAGTGTCAAAGGCCCATTGGCCACTGTATGAGATTGGTTCGCCAGAATAATTATCCATGATCTTATAACGACATGGAACAACACTCTCAAGTTCAAATTCACAGAATGACGTTGGAATATTTCCAAATTCGTCTTGTTGCCCAGCGGAAAAGGGCATCTAAGGTTTTTCGAGAGTGTTTGTGCAAAAGTTGAAGGTCATCGATAGAGGCAGAAGGACTAGTGTAACATACAACAGCATCGTTAGCATACATACTTAGAAAACCACTTAATGACACTTTGATAGGGAAGTCATAACAAAAAATTGGAAACAAAAGCGGGGATTAAATAGGATTATACGAAAGACTTTCATAGAACGACAGAAATACTTTTATAGACAAAAAAATAATTTTATGAAAATTTCGTATCATTATTTTTTTTTCTATAAAATAATTTTTTCTTTATAAAAGTTGTGATGGTTAAAACCTGATGTTACAGTTTTTTATACAATTATTTCGAGACTGAAGACCCACAAATTATTTTTTTGCATCATTTTCTCAAGCATCGTTCAAGTATTACCTGATCCACTCCTACTGAGGGAGTCCGTAAGACAGCAACTCTGTTGTACATCTGAACTAGACTTATTGATCTCAGTAATTGATCGTTCTGTGACTTGAGAGTATGCATTGCTTAGAAATAAGTCATTGGTCAGCAATACGTCAAGAAAGTGGTGACGTCTAATTTTTTTTGTGTCATTGCTGTGGCAAATTTCTTATTTTTTTAATCTTCTCTTCTCTGTACTTTTACGATAATGACACGTAATAAATATCCCAATTACTACTGCAATTTTGGCAGAGTAAAAAGTGTTTTTGTTGCAAAGCTATTTCAGAAAATGAACGATAGAGGAAGACTACATTTTCTTGTCACTCTGCAGGAAAGATCAGTGAGTGAGATTCTAAGTACTCTAAAATGAGTCACACCAAGAGTGATTAAACCATTGCCAAGCAGCGATGCATTGCTCAGCAGTGGTTTAGAAAAGAGCCTCGTTTTCCTTAAAAATGACGTTTCTTTTTGAAGAATCATTGCCAAGCAATGATTTATTGCTTAGCAATGGTTTCTTCTTTGTTTCCTCCCCTAGTGAATGTACTTGCATACAAGTACTTGCCCAAGTACCCTCACAAGTTTTGTGCAACGTTCTTGGCTTTTTTCGCAAGTAAATCAAGTACTTGAATTACTTGATCTGCTTGTCAAGCACTTGGCTAAGTACTTGCCCAAGTAACTCGCAAGTACCTGAGAGAAGTTTGTCAAGTAAATCACGTACTTGGCAAGTGCTACTCTTGAATAAATTGTACAAGTACTTGAAGTACAGGGTTGGAAAAAATATTTTTCCAGGGAAGTACAGCTCAAACTACAAATGATATAAAAGTGAATTTTATACCAAATTAATGCTCATTTAAAATGCGATCGATGAGTATAACTGATAATCAGTATGACGACCATTGACTTTTTTTATAGCACGAAGTCGCGACGGATACGAACATAAAAGACTTTGAGAAAATTCAGTATCTGTTTTCATGTTTCTCAAGGCATCGGAGATGTGATTTTTTAAACGAGCATTAATTTGGTATAAATCTTACTTTTATATCATTTGTAGTTTGAGCTGTATCCCCTGAAAAAGCATTTTTTCCAACCCTGTACTTGGGTAGTACATAACAAATAATGTGTGTGTGTTGGTAGAATAATGTTTATTCTGTTGTTTTATTTTTATTTTAACATAGCGAGTGCGTAAGAAACAATTCTGCTGAATGTGCATAGATGGATCACATTCTTCTTTTCTTTCTACTGAGAAAAAAGGAACGCATAGGTCACTTTGAAACAAATAAAAATTGTTATTAAAAAATGTTTTTCTGCTAAATCTTTTTGATGTTTTAGTGAAAGCAACCCGGAATCTTTTCGGGAAGAAGTTATTCTTGGGGTTTCGTAGGCTACCTCTATTTCGTCAACAGCCTGCGAAGCCGCATTTCATAAAAAGTTTATGACAAAAACACGAAAAACTAAAGGTTTGGTAGTAATCCTTTTTTCAGAGAGTATTAACCCTGAGCTATGGGTATTAGTCGTCAATCTGGTGCCGAGCACACACCATTATGTTGCAAGCACTTGATGCTGTTCTAAAAAGCCATGTACTTGTCCAAGTACAGGAAACACTTCTCAAGTATTTGTTTACTTGCAAATTTCCACAAGTACTTGCACAAGCACTTATCAAGTAGTATATATCTAATAATATCCCCTAAATTATTAGTAGCTAGACGTCAAATACAATACGGAGTTTTTTTCAATATCACCGTTACTCAACCAATTGAAAAAGAGTGTTCATACTTATGAAGTAACTGATGTGTTTTCCAAACGTAAGACTACAGAGACACTAAATGGTTTCCCACCCTCAATTTTGGTCTACTCTTAAACAGAGACATAGCCAGTTGGTGAGATTGTGAGGAACTACTGGAAAAAACATTGAAAAACTTCTAGGAGATCGTGCATGGTTTGTGTGAAGAAAAATTTTGCATCTGTCTGGTAAAAATCCGTGTGTTTAACAGCAAAGATTTCGCTAGGAGATACCTGTTGATCAACATCGTATTACAAAAGCTATGATATATAAAGACATGAAATTTGTTACTTATTTTTGGAGACTATTAAAAGCAATCAAGTATATCACGGTTTGATACTGAAAAAGTATTGAGCTGGTCATACAACTCCAAGATTGGATAGAGAAAAAAATTAAAATAAAATATTAAAAGGAACTGAAAAGTTGCCAGAAGTCCAGTTTCGATAATTGAATCTAAAGATCACGACAGTCCGCAAAGTTACACTTTATACTACATATTGGCATTTAGAAAGCGTTTTGGACACATCGCAAAAAAAAATTATCATGGAAGATCACAAATGGAAAAATTCCGTGATGTCTCAGAAGAACTCACAGAAATTTCTTTTCGCTGTGGAGTATTAGAAAAATCTCGTAAGATTATTGTTTTTCTCGTAAGTTATAGTAGGATGTCCTGCCTTTTTCCTAGCTTTTTATCAAAAGTATAGAACCTACACGAGACTCCGGATAGAGGCGCGACTACGATTTTTAGACTTTTGAGGTTTTTTTCATTGACGTAGAGGACACTTTGAACTATCTATGTATGAAAAAAATCGATAGATTGCTGTGTACAATTTGTTGACTTAGAAACTGGTTTTCCAAAGATCCGCTGAAAAAACGGTTTCACAGATTTGTTCAAAAATCTTCTTGTCTATAAAAATATAGACTAAACTGTCTCTTTTCGATTGCCGAAAACCGCAGGTCTCTAGCTTTTACCATCTTCCAGTCAGCAATGCCAGAATTCCTACATTTCAGACATTTTACAGAATTCTATAGAATTCTACATTTTCCCTATAAATACGACCACTCTTTCACAGCCAAAGCATGGAATGTCCGAGTTGTTCTCAAAAAAGCAATCTAGGAAATGTATAGAATTGTATAGACTTCTATTAGTGACTAGGAATGGGGAGTGGGGAGGGGGGCGCGGATGTGCGGAGCATGAGAGTGAGTCACTAATCCACAATGTCTGTGCTAACGTAGAATTCAGAAGAGTTACAGGATGATGGAATCGATGAAGATGGTAATGCTATACATCCACTGATATTGGAATTTTTTAGAGCAGGAGAAACAGAAAAGGAAAAATTTAAGTCCAAACAATTAAATGATCTGGCGGAAGCAGATGAAAAGAAAAAATCACAAGTACAACATGTTAAAATAACACTAGTAACACCTTATGATAAATTAATATTTGCTCGTTATAACACGTGGGTTATGTTGCCTTGGTTTAGTATTTCCGCATTATTGAAAGGACTTGATGAAGATACCTTGAAAACATTTGCAATAATGAATAATTTTCATCCAACATGTATTAGTCCACTAACAGATCCAATATTATGTGCAAATTTCGTTAAATCAATGGCATCTATTGATCAGTGTCCAAGAAGTAAACATCGAACAAGTGAAATAACATTATACAGTATTGGTTGTGTTGAAAGAATGTTAAGATATTATAACTGTTCGGAAACAATTACTTTTGAACTATTGGACTGGAATGACGGAACAAACAAATGATAAACAATTTTGGTATTCGATTGATAATAAAAAATCTAAACGACGCAAAGAAAAAACATTGTCGGCAGCTGAAAAGAATGAAATTGATATTTTAAATATTGTAAGGTATGACATGTTCGATGTTTATCGATTATATCTTTTTTACAAAGCAATAAAAGGATAAGTGTCCCTTAGAGATTTACTACCGCAACAGATACCTGTAAGTTATCCACTGCGCAGCCAGGCACGAGGACTGCTACCGTCTCATCATGGTGGTCTGCTTGTACTTAGGAATAGTTTTATACCATCTACCTTTCAGCTATGGAACAGCTTACCAATCGATGTAAAAAATTCGAAAAACTCAGCAATATTTAAATTTAAAACGAAACAACCTTTTTTACCGATATTGATTCTCCCGCCTGTGACCGACAGAATTTTGAAAATAGATTTTTCGCGTTTTCGATTGAGTTTCACACAGTTAAATGAGGGCTAAAAGACACTTAGTGCTGCCTCCGAGCGTGAGTGCGGATATAAAAGCGAATCATCATCTCACTTTTTCCTTTTTTGCGCAAAGTATATAGCACAACGTTCAAAACTATTAAAGACGTTTCAATCTATACTACAAATAACCGACATTACAATAGTTCATTTACTTTTTAAAAACGACGACATGCTCTCTCTCGAAAAAGATAAAATTAAAATCCTATACCTTTCTGTTTTAAAATTTTTAAAGGATGCAAAACGTTTTCGCCGGACCCAGTGATGTGTGACCCTTCTTTTCTCACCAAAGTAGAACTGTACTCCTAGCAGATTTCTGAAACAAAAGAAAACGTTTCCTTTGATATGATAAATTCTTTTCTAACTTTACATCACTTTGCTTGTTTCTTTCTTTTTTTACTTGTTGTTCTTTTTCCTGTTGTTATTATTCTCACATTTGTTCAACTTCAACCAAGATGTAATGAGCTAGCTCGATTTGTTGGAAAAATAAAAAAAGTTGAGACTAACGTAGAATTCTATAGAATTCTGTGGATGCCTGAATTGCAGGAACTCGAACATCCCTCCTTTGAGTTATTCAAAAACCAACAGCCTGCCTTATATTTTGGTGCCGATAATAATAACCCTCGCAGAAACCCAATACTCCGAAAAATCGTGTTACAGTGACTTCTTATGGATAAATTTTTGAAAAAGCGAATACTTCATAGGAAGATGTTAATCTCTAAAGTGATGCTTGAGTTTCTGACTCTCATGGTTAATGTCAATTAAGTAATTTGGAGAAAAGTATTTGTCATAATGTTTCTGTTATTGTCAGTAATGAGTAAAACACCTTTCCGATTGAGTGCTATTCATCTGACTCCATTCGCTAATCGACTTGAACCATGCACCATTTTTTAAAGACTCGGATATTATATTTTATTATTGGGATTGACATCTTTAATTATAAACAGCTACGCTTGCTATGTATTTATCAAATATATACAACTACGCCGATCGCCCGCAACGCAGTTAATCGGCTGATTGATCGTGACTGATTGTTTTGGTTCCACATTTGAAACAGTATTACCCTGTATTTCGATGATCACACGCAAGTAGGAAAATTGGATACCGTGTTTCTAATATAAAAAAATTGGAATTGTGTATCTTTTTAGATGGTTATTCGGTTATGATAGATGCGTAGTAGAAACTACAATGGCTTATTTGCTGGTTGTTCAGACATGTATATACGTTGTTTAATAGTAACTAATAGGTAGAACACCTGAATTTGTCTGGACACAGCCTAATACAAAGTATTGTCAGATTAATTCAACATTCACAACATAAATCAATATTCATAGTTTTTGTTTGCCTTTCAAATAGACTCAGAATAGGATTATAGAAAAAACTTTTATAGAATGTTTTATCGAATTCTATAAAATTATTTTATTGGCTCTTTGTCGTTTATGAAATTTTAAATAATTTCATAGAGAACTATAAAACCCGTTTTAACCATAAAAGTTATTTTATAGAAAAAATATAGTTTGATAGAAAAAAACCTTTTTTATTAATAAAGGTATTAGAGAAAATGATGCAAAAAAATAATTTGTGGGTCTTCAGTCTCGAAATAATTGTATAAAAAACTGTAAAATCAGGTTTTAACCATCACAACTTTTATAAAGAAAAAATTATTTTATAGAAAAAAAATAATGATATGAAATTTCCATAAAATTATTTTTTGATCTATAAAAGTATTTCTGTCATTCTATGAAAGCCTTTCTTATAATACTATTTAATCTCTTCAGATATTTAGTGGTAGTAAAGCCATTGAACGCAAAGAAAATTACTATTAAAACTATATCAAGCTCAACTACACCTGAGTAAAGCTCAAACTCAGTTAATAACATTATTAAATCGTATGACGCATGTGTGTGTTCAAGTATTAGAATGTGATACTCTTGGAGAATAGTTGGAGACAAGTTTAACGTTTACTTCACGATACAATTTTTTACTATTCTTACAGAATACTAAGAGACCACCACTAAACGTTTAAAAGAGAAACTTTATTGACAACGTAGTATTTTGTGTTATTTTCTTTTTTTCAATTAAATACAGATACCAAAATTACCAAAAAAATCTGAGTCCCGTAACTCTCTAAAGAATCTTACAGAAATATAAAAAACATCAGAACGACACTCCAAAACTACGAACACTTTGCAACAGAGGCAGATCCGTATAATTAGGTTAGCGGTGAATATTATGATCAGAAACAGAACAATCGTAGAATGTAACAAGCTTCTCTCTGATGTTTGTATGAGATATATTAAATGTTTCTTTCCTTCTCTATTCTATTCATCTTTTTTCTGTCAGATCAACATTCCCACATCATTATGAATTATTATTTAAAATTAGATTGCATAAGCGGTTTAAAAATATGTATGACGTATTAGTACCGCCGTATTAGTACTCCGACTGTTCATAGCAATAGTATCCTCGGATACATACCCATCATGCGATCCTAGCACAGTTTTAACTGAATTGTATACGTACAAGGTTGCCTTACCAGAAATGAATTACTTTTTTATTTTTTTCATGCAAAACAAACGCACTGCGAACTGCGGAGATTTTAAATACAAATTGACCAGAACCGCTCTTCTTTTTTCGAAAACCTCGGTCAACCACAGCTTTTCAAAATAAATTCGCCTGTAATCAAGAAGCGAACGCGGATCACCGGGCTTGTTTAGATCACATTTCATCTCTTCTTATTCATGGCCGCCTACTACCGCAGTTGTTTTTCTGACTTTCGCCGATAAAGGCGATCTGCAGGTTATTTATTAAACATGATATAACCTGAGAACCGCCTGCAACCGCTCTTTAAAACTCCCTCCCGCTGGGAACCACAAGTCTTTTTCTGCTCAACCGCCTCGAACAGCAGTCCTAACCAGTGACATCCGCGGGAAGTAGCTCTGATATCAAACTTCCTTGAAATCAGAACCGCATTAAACCGCGGTATTTTAAATAACAACCGAAGCAAAACTTCTTTTTTATTGACAACCGCCGTCAACCACAGTCACCCTCGCTGAGAACCGCTTGTTTTAATTTCAGAAAAAATGAATGAAAATGATGAACCTCGTAGAATCGCGTTTTTTTTAACAACAATCGGTTAAAACCGACGATTTATCGGTGCTCAATCGGCCAGAATCGGGCCTATATCCACATGAACCGGTGTGAACCACGTATAAAATAAAAACACACGCGGTTACCCGTTAGCGGGTCCACATTCGTGTCTGGGTTTGTCTCACACCAAACTTGAGCAGTATTTTTCTCGTAGTGATTTGATTCAAGCGATGACTGGTCTTATTCAAGATGTTGTAAATGGAATAAAGCGCTTTAATCACTTGACTCAACCTCGCAGCTAATCGCCAATCTTTTATCATGTCACATTCACCACCTTACTACTACTAATTTACACTTCTCCTGTATGATGTGTTTGGTGTGCTCCGTCTAAAGCACATATTATATTTTAAACTAACACATAATGCAAGTCACAAATCCTTATCATCTGTGTTTGTTTTTTCACGCACTTTATAGTTCTCATTCGCTTTCTCTCTTCGACAACAGCAACGGTTACAATACATCTGACCCGATTATATTACTGTTTTTGCCCTCTTCGTTAATAGCGGCTAAACCAACTCATATTCACCATGATTATTTATTGATTAAATGAAACACAATTTATTTCTAATAGAGAAAATAATTTAAGGTCACCAGATGAAAATTAGTCAGTAGAGCAATTTGGCTAGTTCGATATGCCGGTGTTTTGCTTCTCTTTCGTGTGATTCATCACATCGACTATTACTTGACTCCTGTTTTTTGTTATGAGAAACTGTTTTCAATCCCAATAATTAATTATCGAAAGCTTCAATCATTAGTTTTAACGAGTCTCATCATGTTTGTTGATTCTTGTTCTTGTTTTGCAATTACCGATGAAATTAAGATAATTGCAACTAGAGTGATTGACTTTATACAAGGTCTTACAAGATCCCATAATTTTTGAATTTGAGAGTAGACGTTGGTAAATCGTTTCGGTTACATAAACGCGACTCGATCTACTTTATTTATTTTAACGAATAACATATGGATCGGTATATAGATCGGTAAAGTAGTCTTCGTTATGCACTATCTTTCTAATATTTTTGTACATTTATGCTTTATTGTTTAGTCCGTCTTCGACGTTTGCAAATTGGGCAGCTGCCAGTAGTGTCTGCATCATAGCGATAGTGACATTTCTTATAGCAGTCGTAGCAGTACTCGCTTTAATACCGCTCTATATATCACGAGATTACAAACAGCAACCAAGTGGCGAACGTTAGTACTAAAGTTAATAAACGACATACTAGCATTGAAAAGTGAAGTTTCGCTCACCGAGTACTTTAATGATACTCAAAAATCAGACTGCTAAAGATTTTGTTTAAGCTGGTAAATCAGGATGAAGAGAAGTCAGGAAATAACCGCATATTTAGCATTTATGACTTTGTTATTAACACATTCTGTTTCGTACTTTTAGAGTATGTTATCAATAACCTATTACTAAGAGTTCAATACGATAACTCAACCCCATTCAATCAAATATTTATACCCACCATAGTTCAGGCCACACAAAGTCCTGTAATAGCTGCAGCTGCATCTAGGGTCGTCGGCTTCTTTATTCGAGCTGGTGTTACTCAATATATTAATGGAAATACTACAACTCGTATAACGAATTTAACTATAGCAAACAGTTATTTACTCAACCAGGCAGTAAGTTTCTTCTGTAGACTATATTGTTCATCTTTTATCAGAAAATTTCATTTAGTGTTATCGTGCACTTCAGTCTTCTCATTATGATCCTAATCTATCTGCATGTTTAATCACAAACATTGCATTTGTTAATATTACTCAATATAGTTCAACATTAAGTAAACGACGACGCCGTAAACGAGCTATTGTTGAATCGTTTATTACCTGCACAACGACAATATATTACAAAAATCGTTGTTCTGATTCACCAGCTGGTTATGGATTGTTCTATTACATCACTAATCAAAATAGCGTCTGTCGACATCAACGTTTAAATGAAATTAATTCTTGTTTCAACAGCTCTACAGTTCAGCTGCAACATGTTAAAAATATTGTCATCAATGTACAAGCTACTCAGACAGTGTATATAAGTGCAAATGCCACGGGATTTGCATTCGGCTCTAGAAATGGCACCGGTGCAATCGCTACCACATCAACTGTTGCTACTGTAACTACAACTATTGCGTATCCTGTTGCTGGCACTTATGCTATGACTGTTAATGCTATTTATGGCGAAGTCTTTACACGTTATACAGTCTTTGATGGCAATTTACCAACACGTAGGTTCAAGCAGTCTGTTTACGTGATACGACTCTTCCACAAACAAAGTCGTTGTCCGTTGTGTAATACAATACAATTGACAGCAGCTAGGTTTTCGTTTATCTAATCTACATTAATATTGAAAGAACTAGTGAACACTGATGGAATATATTTGTCTGCACGTTTGTTCCATTAACTAATGAAACATTTATGAATCGACTGAACTTCAGTAGATTCATGCCATGCCAGCTGGCATGGTAAATTCTGCTATCTTTTTGACAAGTGTAATAACCACATTTCCTGCTTTTAATCAAGTACTGCCCTGCTCTCATGCTACATCATGCAACTGAGAAATGCTTTTCGAACTCACTCTCACACTGCTTGCCCACTTTCTCCCTTTTCATGAATTATTAATGCAACAAATGTTTAGATAAATAACTGTACAAATAACTGTACGTTACATCAGTGTTGAGTATTTCTTTCGATATTAAAATAGATTAGATAAAACGAATTTATACTCTCAGAATTACATTGTATTACAAAAGACGAGCAAAAGCTTTGTTCACGGAAGAGTCGGTGAATCGTCTATTTAAGAATATGGTTCGAATGTTATTTTATGAAAAACCATCGAACGTCGATCCTAATGCTAAAGAGAAGAAAATAATGATTAAGCAGCTGAAACTTCCTAGCGATTTTCTTTCTAAAAAAATAAGAATCTTTGCTTCTTAACTGAAACGCAAGTTTACCTGAAGCTATGTCCACTGAAGTCCAAGAATAGCGAATGTCCATTCATTGAAGGTACATCTATGATTTCATCTGTTTAGAACAAGGTGCACAATATTATGGGTCAATTAGTCTCGCTCAAATCGATTCGGCAGTGAATTCCCAACTGGATTAGAACCGTCTTGATGAAATTCCATCATATGAAAAACGTTTATCTGTTTGAACTAATTATTCTTACACAATGTTCAGTCTTATAGTTTGTAACCGGTTAAATTACTATATGTAAAAATTTCATTTTAGTAGTTCTTTTTCTAACTCAGTAAATAAAACGTAACGTAATATAAACAAGCTGTTATTCTTTGAGGAAAAAGCCCAAAAGAAAATCACAATATCTGTTGTAGTCATCTAATATAGAAAATCAGAGTTTCGTAAATCTCTGAACAATCTTACATAAATGAACCATGTACCACAACGCTGCTGAATCCGGAAAGCTTTTAAACATCTACATGACGGATAAGCCATCGAATATGTCACTTCTTTCGTATATTTCGACGTGAAAATCGTAAAGCAATGAGATTGAGGGGAGAACATGTTGTAGTCACCATCTCTTATAACTAAGTATATTTAATATAATTGAAAAAGATTTTTGTAAAATCATGTTTTTCAATTATATTAAATATATTTAGTTTTATAAGAAACGTAAAAGAGTCAAAGAATGTCAATAAACGATATGAAATCTTTAAAAAAATCCTTCTCAATACCTAAAAAGTTTCTGCATGAATATTTTTGAAATACGAAAAAAATCAAAAAGCACAATATATAAATTAACAAACGCGTATTCTTACTTTGAAACAAAGTGTATTTTTCTTTTTTTTCTATTTTTCTATTTTTCTTTTTCGATTTACAGTTTTCCGTAGGATACCATTGTTTATATCGAGACAAAACTGATCGTACCAATAATCAATGATAGATGAACCAGGAAATGTTGACAGACGATTTAGTGTACTGTAAAAGTGTTCATAAACGTTTTCTAACTACACCAAAACTACAGTTGGTAAATGTTGATGTCGACGACAGTCGATAAAAGAAATAAAATTCTTCCACAACCGATTATGATTACGAAACGTTTTGAATATAGACACTTGATAGAGCTTTTCAAGGGCTATCAAATAGCCATCTTCTTGTTTTTTGTTTCACAAAGTATGAAGGACTAAAATTGAACAAATTGTTTTTTGAGTTGCAAAGTAATGGAGATCGAAGCTTCGCAGTATTTCTTCGATATTCTTTTCTCTTTACGATATATAGAAAAATGTTTAATATATTTTTTGTAGAGAATTTTACGACACATCTTTTAAGAAAACAACAAAGTTTAGAGGATAAAATCCAATTAAGATATGACCAAAATACTAAGTGACCGATTTATTCTCGAACACCCGTTAGTAATAGGTTTTCATACAATAGCAACACTTCTACGAACTTTTAGACTTCAGGAGTCTGCTGTTTTTCCCTTGGCTAATTACTATTATGACCATACTCAACAAATACTCGAGTTAACGTGACATGAAATTCACCATTTATCAACGTTAAATTATCCAGAATCGGATCGAAGGGTTGACATAAATGCCATTCGGGATTCAAATTTAAGTTAGATGACACATCGTTGTTGCTAAATAAACATCGTTTACTTAATAGTTTAACGACATTCAAAAATCCTGTCGAAAAAAGGCTCTCGAATGAATAGTTCTGTACCGGCTGCACTAAATAAAAAATATTTCAACTATGACTTAATGATGACAAGAAACAATCTTGTTAGTTCGACATTATTACCTAAATTCATATAGTATTTATATTACCAAGTTTTAAGCCTTTGAAGTAAGAAGATTTGACACAGACGTTCGGCTTCGAATGTTGAATATACTGACATTTGACACTGATCCTTCCTGGTGACAGATAGACATTTTTTAAACATTTACCGGATTTTTCCGTATAGTCCACCAAATCTTGTGGTGCATGTAAAATAACATCAGAAAGACACTCTAAAACTAAGAGCACTTTACAGTAGAGGTATATCCTTATAATTAGGTTAGCGGTCGATGATATATTTAATGTTTCTTTTCTTCATCTTATTCATTTTTTTCAATATATTATTTTTTATTCATTATTATATATAAGACATCCAAGGAAACATGAACTGTGCTAATTAATTATAGGTAATATATACATTCTATTTG